GCCGGGAGTGTCGGATGAACGGATGATCTGACACTCCCGGCGGAGAGACCAGGGGCCCGCCGCGCGCTGGATAATGATCCGGCGGCCGGCAACTTGCCGGGCCCCTCCAGAGCCTGAGGCCCCGGGCGCCCGCACCGCCTGCACCGGCGGTAGTTCCGCCACTGCTGTGAGCACAGGATGTCATGGACACACCCCCTGAGTATACTTCATCAGGCCAACCTGGACTCGCAAGGAGAATGGGGCAGAGATACAAAACACAAAAATTCCCCAGCCTCAGCCTGCCAGCCAGCTTGCAACCAAACATGTAGCCCTGTCAACAGTATGCGTTAAAATCAGAGGTTTTAGTTGCACAAACTTTTGGCCAAAAATATGTAGAAGCCACACTGCCGCGCCAAGGCACCTCTGCAAAGTGTGGTCCTAACTCTATGTATCCGAGTCTCCAAGTGTGAGCATATTAATGAAGTTGATAAATTACATGCAGGTGTACCTGGAGGTAGCCAACTCCTCCTGATAAGGTGCAGGGACGCACTGGAGGCCCAGCAACCAAAAATGCACGCTGGGACTCCAGTGCATCCCCCTAACCCAAAATAGTCAGAATGGGGCAGAGAACAAGGGTCATATCACTACCTGAGCCAGGGCTAGACAAATGCCAGGTAGCCAATGTTCCTCAAAAATTATAGCTGGCACCCAACCTTTAGGTCTCGTTCACACCTAGGCGTATTGCATATGCGCGTCTGTCGCGCGTTTTTTACCGCGATACGCGGTAAAAAAAGTCGCGCGACAAACGCGCGTTTCCGAAGGCTACTTGACTGTATCCCAATGGAAACGCGCAACAAAACGGCCCAAAGTAGTACATGTACCTTTTCAGGCGTGGGTCGTTTTGTAGCGCGTTAGGGACGGGCGGAAATACGCCAAGGTGGGAACGAGACCATTGAATACAATGGGATTGATATTTTTGAGCGTTTTGTAGAGCGTTCGTCGAGCGTAGAACGCGCTACAAAACGTTCAGGTGTGAACGAGGGCTTAAGGTTTTCTCTTGTTATTGTCAATTACGTTAACTCCTAAAAAAATAAATCCCACTGGTTTCTGGATTGGACAGAATGACTCCTGGATTCCATATTAATTTGTCTACCCCTGACGTAAGCCCATTCATTGCATCATTTAGGAATGCCCACCGCTTGGGAAGAACAAAAGAGAACCCCGTACATCACATGACTGGACTGAAGGCAGATGAAAAAAAAGGTATGTCTACTAATTAAAAAAAAAATAATAACTGCAGAGTGGGAGGGTTTCGGGGCGGTGTGGGGATCAGTAGGGGTAGTAGGAGA